TCCAGCATCCAGTTTTGCCAGCACCATTTGTTGAAGATGCTTTCTTTGTCAAAAATCAGGCTTTCGTAAGTGTGTGGGTTAATAACAAGTTTTCAACTCTATTCCATTGGTCTACCTGTCTATTTTTGTGCCAATACCAAGCTGTTTTCAGAACTATAGCTCTGTAATAGAGCTTGAAGTCAGGGATGGTGATGCCTCCAGAAGTTCCTTTATTGTACAGGGTTGTTTTGGCTATCCTGGGTCTTTTGTTTTCCCATATAAAGTTTAGAAGTGTTCTTTCAAATCTGTGAATCATTGTTTTTGGATTTTGATGGAGATTGCATTGAATCTGTAGATTGCTTTTGGCAAGATTGCCATTTATACTATGTTGGTCCTACCTATCAAAGAACATGGGAGATCTTTCCATTTTCTAGTATCTTCTTTAATTTCTTTCTTTAGAGCTTTTTCAGCATCTAGTGAGATGATCATGTGTTTCTTTTTCCTCAGACTGTTAATATACTGTTACATTGTTAGATTTTCGTATGTTGAACCATTCTTGCATCCCTGGGATGAAGCCTACTTGATAATGGTGGATGATTTCTCTGTATGTGCTTGGATTTGATTTGCCAGTGTTTTATTTAGTATTTTTGCATCAATGTTCATGAGGGATCTTGGTCTGGAGTTCTCTTTATTAGTTGTGTCATTATGTGACTTGGGTATCAAGGTTATTGGAGCCTCGTAAAAAGAGTTTGGTGATGACCCTTCTGCTTCTATTGTGTGGAATACTTTGAGGAGAATTGGTGTTAGCTGTTCCTTGAATTTCTGGTAGAATTCTGTACTGAAGCCATCTGGTCCTCGGCTGTTTTTGGTCGGCAGACTTTTGATGACTGCTTCTATTTCATTAGGGGATATAGGTCTATTTAAGTTGCTTATCTGTTCTTGATTTAATTTTGGTAAGTAAAATCTGTCCAGAAAATTGTCCATTTCCTTGTTGTTGAATTCTAACTTTAAAGCATGGTGGTCTGATAAGATACAGGGTGTTATTTTAATTTTTTGTACCTGTTGAGGTTTCCTATGTTCCCCAGTATCTGGTCAATTTTAGAGAAGGTTCCATGTGGCACTGAGAAGGAAGTATATATATTTTTTGTGTGTTCAGATGGAATGTTCTATAGATATGTTAAGCCCAATTGGGCCATAACTTCTATTAGTTCCTTTGTTTCTTTGTTAAGTTTCTGTCTGCTGTTCCTGTCCAGTGGTGAGAGTGGGGTGTTGAAGTCTCCCACTATAAGTGCGTGCGGTTTGAGGTATGATTTGAGTTTCAGTAATGTTTCTTTTACGAATGTGGATGCCTTTGTGTTTGGGGAATAAATGTTCAGAAATTAGACTTCATCCTGATGGATTTCTCCTGTGATGAGTAGGAAATGACCTTCTTCATCTCTTTTGATTGATCTTAGTTAAAGTCCAATTTGTTGGATATTAGGATTGCTGCCCCCGTTTGTTTTTTTGGGTCCATTTGATTGGAAAAATCTTTTCCCAACCTTCTGTCTTTGAAGTTGAGATGTGTTTCTTGTTTGCAACAGAAGGACGGATTCTGTCTTCTTATCCATTCTGCTAACCTGTGTCTTTTTATGGGAGTTAAGACCATTGACATTGAGGGATATTAATGACCATTGATTGTTCATTCTTGTTTCTTTTGTATTTGGTGGTGGTGGTGGTGAAATTATGTGTGGGTTTCCATCCCTTTTTTCTTTTGCCTATTGGTAAAGTGGGGTTATCTATTGCCTATATTTTTCTGCTTTCAGTTAACTTCCTTGAGTTGCAGTTTTCCTTCCAGAACTTTTTGTAGGGCTGGATTGGTGGACATGTATTTTTGAATCTTGTTTTGTCATGGAATATTTTGTTTTCTCCATCTATAATGATTGAAAGCTTTGCTGGGTATAGGAGTCTGGGCTGGTATCCATGGTCTCTTAGTGTAGGTAGAATATCTATCTAGGACCTTCTGGCTTTCAGAGTTTCCATGGAAAAGTCAGGTGTAATTCTGATAAGTTTGCCTTTCTTTAGGTTGGGAAAGTTTTCTTCTGTGATTTTGGTGAATATGTCTTCTGCACCTTTGAGTTGGATTTCTTCACCTTCTTCTATACCTATTAATCTCAGGTTTGATCTTTTCACGGTATCCCATATTTCCTGGATATTTTGTGTTAGGGATTTGTTGGACTTAAGATTTTCTTCGGTTGATGAGCCTATTTCTCATAGTGTATCTTCAACTCCTGAGATCATTTATCATTGTTGATCTCAGTGTCTGTGCTACTGGTGTAATGTTCAGGACTCAGTCTCCTGTACCAATTAATTCAAGGTTATTTCACAATTTGTCTTCTAATAGGTTCATTGTGGCTGGATTTATGTTGAGGTCTTTGATCCATTTGGATTTAAATTTTGTGCATGGCAATAGACATGGATCTATCTGCAGTCATCATTCCAGCATCCAGTTTTGCCAGCACCATTTGTTGAAGATGCTTTCTTTGTCAAAAATCAGGCTTTCGTAAGTGTGTGGGTTAATAACAAGTTTTCAACTCTATTCCATTGGTCTACCTGTCTATTTTTGTGCCAATACCAAGCTGTTTTCAGAACTATAGCTCTGTAATAGAGCTTGAAGTCAGGGATGGTGATGCCTCCAGAAGTTCCTTTATTGTACAGGGTTGTTTTGGCTATCCTGGGTCTTTTGTTTTCCCATATAAAGTTTAGAAGTGTTCTTTCAAATCTGTGAATCATTGTTTTTGGATTTTGATGGAGATTGCATTGAATCTGTAGATTGCTTTTGGCAAGATTGCCATTTATACTATGTTGGTCCTACCTATCAAAGAACATGGGAGATCTTTCCATTTTCTAGTATCTTCTTTAATTTCTTTCTTTAGAGCTTTTTCAGCATCTAGTGAGATGATCATGTGTTTCTTTTTCCTCAGACTGTTAATATACTGTTACATTGTTAGATTTTCGTATGTTGAACCATTCTTGCATCCCTGGGATGAAGCCTACTTGATAATGGTGGATGATTTCTCTGTATGTGCTTGGATTTGATTTGCCAGTGTTTTATTTAGTATTTTTGCATCAATGTTCATGAGGGATCTTGGTCTGGAGTTCTCTTTATTAGTTGTGTCATTATGTGACTTGGGTATCAAGGTTATTGGAGCCTCGTAAAAAGAGTTTGGTGATGACCCTTCTGCTTCTATTGTGTGGAATACTTTGAGGAGAATTGGTGTTAGCTGTTCCTTGAATTTCTGGTAGAATTCTGTACTGAAGCCATCTGGTCCTCGGCTGTTTTTGGTCGGCAGACTTTTGATGACTGCTTCTATTTCATTAGGGGATATAGGTCTATTTAAGTTGCTTATCTGTTCTTGATTTAATTTTGGTAAGTAAAATCTGTCCAGAAAATTGTCCATTTCCTTGTTGTTGAATTCTAACTTTAAAGCATGGTGGTCTGATAAGATACAGGGTGTTATTTTAATTTTTTGTACCTGTTGAGGTTTCCTATGTTCCCCAGTATCTGGTCAATTTTAGAGAAGGTTCCATGTGGCACTGAGAAGGAAGTATATATATTTTTTGTGTGTTCAGATGGAATGTTCTATAGATATGTTAAGCCCAATTGGGCCATAACTTCTATTAGTTCCTTTGTTTCTTTGTTAAGTTTCTGTCTGCTGTTCCTGTCCAGTGGTGAGAGTGGGGTGTTGAAGTCTCCCACTATAAGTGCGTGCGGTTTGAGGTATGATTTGAGTTTCAGTAATGTTTCTTTTACGAATGTGGATGCCTTTGTGTTTGGGGAATAAATGTTCAGAAATTAGACTTCATCCTGATGGATTTCTCCTGTGATGAGTAGGAAATGACCTTCTTCATCTCTTTTGATTGATCTTAGTTAAAGTCCAATTTGTTGGATATTAGGATTGCTGCCCCCGTTTGTTTTTTTGGGTCCATTTGATTGGAAAAATCTTTTCCCAACCTTCTGTCTTTGAAGTTGAGATGTGTTTCTTGTTTGCAACAGAAGGACGGATTCTGTCTTCTTATCCATTCTGCTAACCTGTGTCTTTTTATGGGAGTTAAGACCATTGACATTGAGGGATATTAATGACCATTGATTGTTCATTCTTGTTTCTTTTGTATTTGGTGGTGGTGGTGGTGAAATTATGTGTGGGTTTCCATCCCTTTTTTCTTTTGCCTATTGGTAAAGTGGGGTTATCTATTGCCTATATTTTTCTGCTTTCAGTTAACTTCCTTGAGTTGCAGTTTTCCTTCCAGAACTTTTTGTAGGGCTGGATTGGTGGACATGTATTTTTGAATCTTGTTTTGTCATGGAATATTTTGTTTTCTCCATCTATAATGATTGAAAGCTTTGCTGGGTATAGGAGTCTGGGCTGGTATCCATGGTCTCTTAGTGTAGGTAGAATATCTATCTAGGACCTTCTGGCTTTCAGAGTTTCCATGGAAAAGTCAGGTGTAATTCTGATAAGTTTGCCTTTCTTTAGGTTGGGAAAGTTTTCTTCTGTGATTTTGGTGAATATGTCTTCTGCACCTTTGAGTTGGATTTCTTCACCTTCTTCTATACCTATTAATCTCAGGTTTGATCTTTTCACGGTATCCCATATTTCCTGGATATTTTGTGTTAGGGATTTGTTGGACTTAAGATTTTCTTCGGTTGATGAGCCTATTTCTCATAGTGTATCTTCAACTCCTGAGATTCTCTTGTATTCTGTTTGTTATGCTTGCATCTGTAGTTCCTGATCGTTTATCCAGCTTTTCTATTTCCAGCATTCCTTCAGATTGTTCTTTCTTTATTGTCTCTATTTCAGTTCTTAGGTCTTGAAGTGTTTCCTTGAAAGATTTGTTGATATGTTGTATTTTTTAGTTTATTTTTTCTTCCATTTCTTTAAGGGATTTTCTCATATCTTCTTTGAGGCCCTCTATCATTTTCATGAAGATGTTTTTAAGGTCCTTTTCTTCTGCTTTATCTGCATTGTGATGTTCTGGTCTTGCTGGTGTATGGTCCCTAGTCTCTGGTGTTGTCATATTGGTTTTTTTGTTGTTGAATGTGCTTTGATATTGTCTTCTTCCTATCCTTTCTTCTGGTGGGTATAGCAAGAGTCTCTTCCTCTCTTGGTGTTTATGGGTGCAAGGTCCCCTTATGGTAGATGCAAACAGTTTCAATACTCTAATGTCTGTCCTCTTCTCCTGGGCAGGTGGATGGTGGTAGGGCTGTTAACGGGGCCTTGGCAGTCTCTGGGTGTGCTGGAGCCTGCCGGCTGAGTTCGGATCCTGTCAGATTTGATTAATTCTTAAGGGCTTCAAGATCATGGTGCTAGGCTTTACTAAGGTCTGGTGAGGATTCTTTGCATCAAAGTACCTGGATCAAATATGGAAAGACCACAAGTTATAGTTTAAGGGTGAAGAGTTGCTATTTTGTAGTAGCTTGTTGTTCTGGGAACTAAGTCCACAAGACCAGCAGTAACTGTTTTGGAGTGATTTCTGATTGACTTAGTATCTCCAACTGGAATTCAGCTTTTAAAGTAAGCAGCTCATCTTAATACAGCCCATCAAACACATGAACCAGCACAGGAACCTTTAAGGACAAGCCACATTCACACCACCATGGCTAGTCATTAACTTTATAGATAAACATCTAAAGCAGACATGAAATTCTCTGTGGAACATGAAGCTGCTGGTGTCAGACACTGGAACAACCATTTCCATCTTGTCTATTCCATTGTCTTGAGCTTTGATTTTCTTTCTATTGAGATATAAAGGACTGTTACCATTGCATTTATGTTTAAGTCTAGACCAAAATAAACAGCCGTAGAAAATAAAGGCAGGAAAGATTTCTTCATTCAGCTCCATGTCTATGCACATTTACATAAACAAAGAGCAGTCAAGAATTGATCTAAAATAGAGGAAAAACTAGGGGATTTTTACTTTTCTCATTAGATCAGGATTGTGGTCATCTTGGTAGTCATGCATGTGCATGTTATTGGCACGTATTTCTTTATCCAGATGTACTTAAAAACTTAGGACAAATTCCAGAACAAATTCATGGGAAAATTTTATAGTATTTTCAAATACAAATCCATTTTTACACAGATATACACAAGATATTGGAAGTAAAAGGTCATGTCAGAGAATAAATTTATGTAATCTAAAATATATTTAATTTCTCAGTATAGAATATTTCTATTCTTTTTCGTACTTCCAAAAGAGTACCAGATTTCTGCATTTAATTGGCTATTAAATTGCTATGTCCAGTAAAAAATGTTAACGAACATAGTTTAGGTATATTTGTAAAAGAAATTCTCATGTATTTGAAAGGTCCTTCTTATTTAAAAAGTAAAATATTACCAAAACACATTAAAATCAAAGAAAATAAGTTTCCTTACTTGTTCAGTATTACCAAAATGAGTAAACTTTTTGTTAGAATTTTTCAGTACGTTGGTATTATGTTGCCTACATATATAGACTGAGTATTGCATTGTTGAAGGTAAAGAGTGCTACAGATGAAAGTAAAGCCATAACTATGACAAATTATTGATTAAAAACCCCTAGCACACTATTGTGAAAGTCTGTTAGGTAGACATGAAATCAGTTGAGTTAATAATGAACTGAACTAATCAGTACTGAACTAATTCATGTAACACTAACTGAATTGGGAACAAACCAAACTATCTCATTTTAATCAGAAAATTTGCAAGATTTTAAAGTAAGTGAAGCACATGGCAATCCCAAATGAATTTGTCACCCAATTCAGAAGTTAAGACAGCAACAATAAGGGTTAACACCAATGAATGAATAAAATAAAATAAAAGGACAAGATTACTCCTAATGCATGGAGAAGGTTTTATTGTAGATTAAGGAAGAAAATATATTATAGATATAAGGTAGAGGGAAGATCCATGGTGAACATTGTTGGCAGACTAAATTGAACCATGAGAGGAGAGAACAGGAGGGAAAGGGAGAGAGGCACTGTAGATCAAGTGTAAAAATGGCTGAGTTACATAGGAATTCCGCTGGGGGTGGGGGAAGCAGAAAGCCCAGCTCCTAGGAAGAGTTTAGTTTAGTGGTCAGGGTGAGAAGTGCTGGGAGAAGCTGCACATACTGAGTGAGACTTGCCCTGGGTTTAAGAACACCCCCAGCTTTATGTTGATAGGGAAAGTAATGAATTATTTGTCGGGGACTAGAAAGGCTGGAATGATATTCAAAGGATAAGGAGGGGAATGAAGGCTGTTTGACTTGACACCCTGGTTCTGTAGGAACACCTTGGCCTAGGAAAATAAAGGCCACTTTGGAGTAGTTTGGAATGCTGTACTACCTGGGGATAGCTGCTTTCAAGTCCTCACAAGGATACATATTCTTAAGGAATACCTGGGTCTGATGCATTCATTATAGGCAGCCTTGGAGCAGTCTGCAGTTGACTTGAAACTTGATGGGACAGATACACTGGGGAGGAGAGGTAAGGACTTAAGAGAAAAAGTTTATCTTGGGTGTACTTTTAAAACTTTTAGGCCTATGGATCTCTGATAATTTGGGAGAGTCCCAAGACCAGGGAGAAAGGAGGAGAGAGGGAGAGAGGGAGGGAGGGAGGGAGAGGGAGAGGGAGGGGGAGAGGGAGAGGAGAGAGAGAGAGAGAGAGAGAGAGAGAGAGAGAGAGAGATCCAACCCCAGGAATGTTCAGGTAGAGAAATTTAGGATTATTGGAAGTGTGAGAAGTGGATCCAAGTTGAGTACCTGAAGCTTCTGTGAATTCCTTTAAGATTACAAAAAAGAGATAAAAATTTTAGATATGTTAGCACTACCACTGTTTGCAGTCTGTACTGAAAACCACAGTGAAGACAAAGCAATGGACTTATGTCTCTGAGTCATAGTAAAAACTCATAGTAAAAGCTTCAGGACCCCGAAAGGATTTTGAGTGACAAGCATTGATATTTCCCACTCTCCAGAGGGTTGAATATATAGATAGAACAGAGATGTTCTCAGCATAGTGAGAAACACTTTTTGTCCACACTTAGTAGACAACAAAAGGAAATTTAAAATTTTTGAGCTTGTGACTATGATAATAGCAGCAGTGCTTTGCCAGGGCTAGATTAATAGACTATCAGAACACCATTGATTTATGCCAAAACTTTTAAAGTCTTAGTATAACAATAGCATAAAGAGGGAAAGAAGTCTGAAACATTTCTAATTTTTAAATCACTTTCTTATACCTTTATAATTTGAATTCGCATACCTTAAATCGCTTCCATAGACCCTCACAACTTACATAAACTTCAAACCTTTTCTTTCTTTCTAATCATTTCCCAGGAGAGACAGATGGTTGAATACTGAGAGCAGCCATCTGCAGAACAAGTTCCATTAAATACAGGAGTAGTAAAAAGTTATTTGGAAACCTCTTTTGTGAGTTTATGTTGGTCAGCCTGAAGTCTACCAGCTAGGTAACCTGTCTGTGTCTGCCTTTCCCAGCAGGAGACATAGATGCCATCGAAACAATGAACAGAGAAGGGAGCTACAGTCTTGGGGAAGGAGATGGTACATTTGCCACTGTTGAAATAACAACGACACAGTTAGTTTGACTATCAAAGTCATCAGAGATCTGAGAAGGATAAATAATCACAGGAAATAGAATCCACATGCCTACATATCATTTAAAACAACAGAGCTGCACTGCTACCTGGGCGGTTAACCTAGGCTCCCATGGTCTTGGTGGCTTCACTGGTGGCAGAGGGATTCCATGTTTGGCTGCCACATGAGACAGCCTTGGCCTTTGGCTGCCATACCTAGAAGATCTCAGATATTTGCCTGTGGAGAAGGAACTTGGGAAAATTGACCTACATTGGCCAAACAACCTGAAAGTGTCCACATTTTAGATAGGACTTTTGTCAAGCAAGGTATGAGGCAGTTTTTCCCAGTAATTTGTGTTACCACAATCCAGGAGGAGTTGTCTGTGCCCCATTGTCTTATTTGGAGACCTTAGTGTCACCTCTAAGATCTAGCATTTTTGTCTATCACGGGTAAAATTTCTCATTAAATGCTTTCAATGCCATATTCAACAGACCTCTGAAGAGTCTGAGGACCATTATTAATTAAGTTTACATAATTTAAACAAACTTTACTTGGTTTTAGTTACTTGCTTTAGGTTTAGTTTTCAAGCACAAACTAGAGGCTTAATAAAGCTTGACATTGTGAATGAATTACATTTGAACTTAGCATACCTACAAGCACAGTTCTGAGAACATTAAGGAATTTGATACTTTATGAGGTGACTGACTATTCACTTATATGTCTTAATCATCTGTAACAACTTATTAGCTTTTAAAGGTTGGGATTTTACAGTTTTATCTGTTAAGTTTGAATGTTAAAATTTTGAGTTGAAGATTTAATTGACGATCCTTTAGTATCAAAATGAAATTATAAACCACAAATACAGTCCATAAAGAGACTGGGAACTTTGTCCTTATCTAATGTACCACTATAGTATATCACAGTTTTTTGTATGACTCAGTTTATTTAAATAGCTAAACATTAACAAAGAGAACAAAGACCGACAGGCTAGACATCTGTCTTTAAGTCAGTTACAGTTAACATGAATACATCTCAGGAATTTATAAAACTTATTTATCAAATATATATTATTTGTCAAACATATGTTGTTTCTTATCTAAAATTTCTAGAAGCATCCTCGCATTGGACACAGTTGGCAAAGACAGAAGTAGTTAGACATACATTTCTAAGTCAGCTTTATCTTAATTTGAGTAGAACTTTATAATACACCTTGAATGTATTTAATCATAAAAATCCAATCTAATTCAAGGTATTTTGGCAACCTGTTATTGTTATCTCCTTAATCTAAAATGGAGATATGATGATAAGCAGAGGGTTCAATAGGACTAACAAGTTTTATGATGGTTGCTTTAGTTGCTTTATATCATGTGGTCATCTTAACCATGATGGTAATAAATTTACTATATGTGTTTGTGTGAGTGTGTGTGTGTACACATATATATTTCCCAAACAAGAGTAAAATCACATATAATGTACTGTAGCAAATTAAGATTACCTGTGTAAACCTATGGAATCTTCCCCTGCTTCTGGATTTATTCCTTATTTTAGTTATTTCTTTTCCCCTCTATTTTATGCTAGAATGTACAGCTTTGTCCTGGGAATACTTTTTCTTATTCTCTGATTCTCTTCATCCTAAATCAGAAGAAGAATAGAAATTGAGATCAGAAAAGACATTGAAAAAGGTTGCAAGACAGAAAACTATTCAATACAATGTTCAGTGGGACAAGGAAACAATGGGGAGAGGGTACTGGATCTACAGGATAAAATATTATAGAATTGGAATATGGCTGATGTAAAAATTAGTATTTCCTTCTCAAGATAGCTAATAAAAACAGCAAAAGCACATTGGTGACTCCTTAGGTAACATATTGTTTTGGAAACTATCCAGAAATTTGGACTTCTACTTTGGAATGCCTTTGTCCAGCCTCACCCCATCTGACTAACTCTCATTCAGTCCTCCAAGCCTCTCAGGGGATTGGCTCATATCATATGCCTGTTTTTTTTTGTTAATAATTGTTCCCTATTAGTAACAAAAATTACATATTTGTGCACATAATCAGTGTCTTAATTTCCTAATTTAAGGAATACTACATGATGTTTAGAGCCTTCATTTGTTGTTCACAGTTCATAGACAATGTTAGGCAGTATCAGATAGAGAATAGAGGCTTAAGAATTTGGATTTATGAGTGAACAAATGCATTAACTCATGATTGAACTATATTTTTACTTGTACTTTTGTAAATTCTTTCACACTATAATGATGTTTTCTTTTGTATAGAATTATATTGTATACAACCATCATGGACATGTTTGTTTTCTTTCCAGGTTTAAAATCCCATGAACCTCTTAACGTAAAATCATGTTTTACTCCTCTTTGGAACAGCAGAGCACTTAGCGGATAATTTTGTCAATGAGTGAACATTTTTAATAGTGTCCCATAAATATTTATCATTTTTATCACAGGGAAAATTTACATTTCATAAGTTATTAAATATGTAAAATATGCATTACATTCGAGGAGATAAGAGGCTTGGTCATTTGCTTGGGAAGTAGAATTGGCTTGCACTGTGATTTAGGAAGATGCCAACATAACTTGTGATTTCCACGTTTTATTCTAACCATTTCTTTGGTTAGAAATGCAGCTTGTCTACAAAGCAAACTCAAGATTTCGAAACATTCCTGTCATGTTCATTCAAGTCCTCATCAATCCATATTCTTTAACTTAGAACATGTTTGTGTGTCTGAAAAAAATGCAATTTTCTCTACATATAAAAATGTAAATAGTAGAGATTTCTTCACAGTAAATATGAACTTGAAGGAACATTCATTTCCTGTACAAAAGATATTGACTTAAGAATCTGTGTATGTAATCAAATTTGAATAAATACTTAATGTCTAAAACATTAGCTTTTAAAAATAGGAATATAAGACTTTGATGCGTAACATTAATTTTCTATTATATTTTTCATTTTTTTTGCAATCTAAGGCATTTGCTTCTAAAATCTTGAAAGAGAATGATATGGGACAACCAACTTCGCCTTTGCCTGGTACTGAGAGTTTCCTGGATTTTCCCTGCTAGAACTAGGCAGGAGCTTGTTTGCTTTGGATGGAAGCATCACCATGTGTTTTTCTCTCTTTCTCTCTTTCAACTTAAATAACATACTTGTTAAAAATTTCTCAGATTTTATAAGAAGGCACCTCGAAGGTATATTTAAAGAGCAGAAGTTAAAGTTAAGAAGCTAACTCATTTTTTGCTTGAAAGGTTGACATTTGTATGTTTTATGTTCACTCCAGAAGATGATTATTTATTTATAATATTACTAAGGGTACATGTCACTGTAGTATACAGTGTACAGCATATTGTCTGGCTCATCTGGAGGATTTTTGAGTGATAAGTTGTCCTAAGTTGAACTGCAAGAGTTTTCTTCTAGACTTTCATTTCTTTTATACATATCTGTAGGCCTATATTAAAGCTACAGGAATTGGAATGGGAAGTGGCATGAACTCCTGAGCCAATTGGGAGCATGAGGGTAGGGGAGAGGGAGCTGCCACAATGAGAGCAGGAGAAGAGGAATGGAGGAGAGGAAATGGAGGAGCAGAAATATTGAGTTGGGGGAAGAATAGAGGAGAGAGAGCAGGATGAGAGATATCATATTAGAGGGAGCCTCTATAGGTCTGAGAAGAGATCTGGCACTAGGGAAATTTCCAGAGACCTACAAGGATGACACCATCTGACAATCCAGGCAATGGTGGAGAGGATAACCTAAAAGCCTTTCCCCTAAAATGAGACTGATGACTTGGTTGAAGGGAGGGAGGAATGAAGATCAAAGGGGTCGGTACCAGGTTGGAGAAACCCACAGAAACAGTTGGCCTGAACAAGGGGGAGCACATCGACCCCCCCCATGCTGTCTGGGGTACAGGACTGATCCAGACCCCTGAACATGGATATTAATGAGGAGGCCTCTGCACTCCAGGAAACCCCTTGTAGTGAATTAGTATTTTTCCCTGGTGGAAGAAGGGACTTAGAGAGTCCATCCCACGTGAAGGGATGCATTCTTGGCCTGGATACATGGGGGAAGGCCCAGACCATACCAGGATGATGTGGTAGACTTTGCAGAGCCTCTGTTGAGGGCCCTACCCTGCCTGGGGAGTTGAGGATGGATGGGGTGGGGGTTAGGTCAGGGGTGGGGGAGGAGGAATGGGGTGAGGGGAGGGAGAGGGAGAAGGGATTGACATGTGAAACAACTTGTTCCTAACTTGAACTAATAAAAAATAAATAAAAAAGCTATAGGAATTATTTCAATGTTTACATTTTTATCTTAATTCTCACATATAACAACTCACAGACACAAATAGTTTATGACTGGACCTGAAATTCATGCATGACAAAAATAGTTTTAAGCTCTCTTGAGAATTTCTGTTTCTAATCAGAGATGCAATTAAGGACTGTGTCATGTCACTGGAAGCCTTTTGCAATTCTTTTATCATCAAAGGTTAGAATAGCTGCTGCTATGTTTTAACCACCCCAGCATGTGAAAAGCTATAATCTCTACCTAGAAATTAAAACTCAGCTCTTTCAGCATTGTGGATGAACAGCACCTCTTGTGTCATTTCTCTAGTTGAAATGCTAAAATTTTATTGATTTGTCTCTCTCTCTGTGTGTGTGTGTGTGTGTGTGTGTGTGTGTGTGTGTGTGTGTGTGTGTGTGTGTGTGTTTAGTTACATTTTGTTCATTGTATTTAAGTATTTAAAAGAATAGGTATTTCGGCAGTATTTTACTTTTATCTTATCTTTTTTACTAGTTTGTTTTCTCAATCATCTATTATTTAAGAGCTCCCTTTGAATTGTTTGATGCCAAATAACATTATAAAATAAGCATAAGGGTTTTCATTAAAGTTACAAAAGAATCCGTCTTTTAGTTAGATATTGATAAATAAAAAATGGCATCCTCTCTGAAATAACAGGAAACAGAGGGTCCCATTGCATTTGTGTCAAAAATCTTCTATTAAGGTGAGGAAGCTAGCCTGTGATTTAAAAAAAAATGCAGTGAAAAGTTCTTTTTTGTACCTATCCATACAGATTTTCAAAGTGATGACTTAACTTTCCAGGGATCAAGAATTAAAATTTGGTTCCCAAGTAATTATTAAGTATTCTTAAAGAAAATAGTAGCTACAAACACAACATTAAATCCAAGTAGGGTGTATAGCTCTTGTTATATTTTTATAGAGATTCATTGATGCAGTAATTTACCTAACAGACATTTTCATACATTCAGGTCTGTTTATAAAAACACATTGGAGATCACACTGAGGGAGTATATGCAAAGGGAAAATGAGGATTCTTGTGATTCCATTTTCATTTAAACATAGTTTCATGTTTTTAGACTATTAATTTTCCTTTCACTGAGGTCTTGCTCTTCTCATCATTGAGTTTAATGTCTTCACAATCTGTTCCCCAGTTTCCAAATAGCAAAGAGGCAGCCTCTCTGCTTTCAGACATGGCCTTCTTGCTATCTACATTACACCTTAGATGCTTGTGAAGGTCTCTGAAGGCAGAAAGAGTACAGCAACACACTATTCAGAGCAGTGTGTACTTCTTCTATTTATTTCATATGTTGTTGACTTCAATGCACTGAAGTGCTTTTAACTTGATTCCAGAGGAAACCATGCACTAATCCAGTACAAATATTTAATTAAATCACTTTTCATTTCTTAGTGATTTGTATGCCCTACTAACTACTACTACAGAGACAGCAGATTCTCCAACAAATGAAAATGAATTTCTGAACATGAGCACCAAACATGTTAGATGATTCTGTCAATTTTTTTTATCAGAACATTGGATTTTTCATTAATACTAAGAAAATATTGTATTATTAATCAAAGCGAATCTTTTACAGAATTATACATTGAAGGACAATGACTATGCTTGGTTGTAAAGAATTCTGTAGACTTACATTTTGTGAATTTGGATCTTGGCTCTGCTATTTGTCATCTGAGTCTAAATTGGGGTGAATATCATGACTACATTACACCTCAGTTTAGTCATCTACAAATGAGAATAAGAACAGTACCATTGCTGGGTGGTGTTGGCGCACACCTTTAATCCCAGCACTTGGGAGGCAGAGGCAGGTGGATCACTGTGAGTTCGAGACTAGCCTGGTCTACAAGAGCTAGTTCCAGGACAGCCTCCAAAGCCACAGGGAAACCCTGTCTTGAAAAACAAACAAAAAAAAAAGAACAGTACTATCTTACATAGTTGTAATGCATATCAACTAGGTTAGCATTTCTATTTATAACAATGCCTAGAATATACAAGGAACCCTTAATGTAATACTGTAATTCTATATAATGCATAGATTAATTCACATTTTTCTTTTTTAATTTAAATTAGAAACAAGCTTGTTTTACTGGTCAATCCCACATCTCTCTCCCTCCCCTCTTCCCTTGCCCCCCACCAACCTCCTATTCCATCCCCTTCCTGCTCCCCAGGGAGGGTGAATCCTTCCATGGGGGAATCTGCAAAGTCTGTCATATAGTTTGGAGCAGGACCTAGACCCTCCCCAGTATGTCTAGGCTGAGAGAGTAACTGTCTATGTGGAGCAGGCTCCCAAAGTCCATTTATTTACTAGG